CTGGTGGGTTAGTTGTTCACAATAAAATGCCGTTTGTATTCAAATGCATGTGCCATACATGTCGGCATCATCCTTTAATCACTGTTGTAACCACAAAGGCAGTGTTAAAAACATACATACATATATATGTGTGTAACTATATTCGCTTATACATGAATCCATGTGTCAGCTGGAAAATTCAATTCAAACGATCGAACGTTCAATGTTAGCCGAAGATATGTTAACATGTACATATGTATATATGAATTTTTGAAATTTAAAATGGCGGATCCAACTTGAATTCGCCATATTAAATATTAAAAATTCATGATCATGTTCGTAAATAGCGATAAAAAAAAAAAACCCTGGGTAACAAGTGCATCCAATAATTTTTCTAATTTTTATCCGTCATATTGGATCTCACATATTGAGTTTCAAAAAATGCCACTCATCATTTATATTTTTCAAGAAAATAAACAATCTATTTTTAACAGAACCAATTTTATTCAACAATTTTATTGAGCTTGAGGCGGTTTTAAATGAAAATTTTTGTAGAAAAACAACAATAGGTGCTACTTTGGAGATAACCACATAACCACAGTCCTACAGGGACTCCAGTCACGAAGCTAGTACTCTATCCACTGAGCTAAGTTCGCGACGTAAACTGTTGTTGCTTTTTCCAATTTTTTCATGCGTTAAAAAAATGTGTTAGAATAAATTCAATAAAGTATTAAAAAAGAGTTCAAACTATACCAAACGCGAATATGTCACTAATTTTTATTAGTTTTACTTTTGATCGAGAAAGTTTTGAACTTGTTTTGCTTTGCTCTTTCCTAAAAGCTTCCTTTATTGCTAATAGTTTTATTGTAACTTTTGCAGTGACCGAAAATAAAAGGTATGATCGGAACTAAATGTCGTTCTCGTAATTTTGTTCCTAAATACGCTTCAAAACCAAAACCAAAATAAGAACCAAAATCTCGAGAAACTTCTCAATGGGAATTATATCAGAACAAAACCCTGGGGAACGTTCCCCAATTGCAAACAATACTTTCGGAAGTATTTCTAAGAGAATAAAATTGGAACAAAAGCCTAAGGAACTTTCTCTTCAATAACAATTTTAGAACCAAAGTCACAGGAATTTTCTGACAGAGAACGAAACGGGAACAAATCTTCACTGAACTATACGCGAAAAATGGAAGCGAGAAAAATAAGTTTCATATAGCGTTCATTAGTTTGAAATGGTTGAATATCAAAATTAATCAACAAAGAACTGAAAGCTATTTATGCAAATTAAGTCAACGAAAGACACGAACTTTTTTTGCACAGAAAAGAACAGTTTTCCATAAGTTCCACAGTTCACCCTAATGGCTTAGAATTAACAATCGTCGTTCGCACTGAAATGATTTTTCATCCCAATACGCAGGCGCCCCTCTCATTCTTAACGTTAAGTTCTCAACACTTGTGTTCTCGTTTTGTTCTCGAGCAGAACGTTCTCCACACTTCTCGATAATTTCGTTCTCATTTTGTTCTCATTGCACACGTTCCCGGAAGTTTCCAGCAAATGCCAGCAGAGATGGGTTGAGTTGCGTATTCGTCGGGAGGCGTTTTCTTCACGTCCTCTGTATTTGCATCAACATGCCTATCAGGAGGGAAAGTCTATCAGGAGAGCTGTCTCTCAAGCTCTGCAAAATCTGGTTGCCAGAAAAAAAAATAATTCTCGTTGGGCATTCCTGCAGACGTTCTGGGTGCTTTTGACAATGCGGCCTTCGATTGCATCTGCAACTCGGTTGGAATGTTTTGTAAGTCCTTTGTAATAAATCGTATATTTATGGAGTAAGCAGCTTCTCTTGACAAAAAATAAATGAGTGGAAAAGATTTTACTTAAAAAAATTTTTTGCGATTCTAAATACTAAAAAAATTATTTTTGTGAAAATTTTTTTTTTTGTGTGAAATTTTTTTTCCCAAAAGTAAATCAAATGTGCAAAAAATTCGCCGAAAATTATACTTTACATAAACAAAGCGTAAATAATTGGAAGACAATTTTCCAGAGCAATTTAATTTCTGATTCTTCGTAATGCATTAGAAAATTGATGTTGTTGTTGTACTAAATACTCATACACATATATGTACATATTTATGTATGCTTAGTTGAAAGTATGTGGGCACACAAGTCCAGTCTAGTCTAATTTACTTTCTTTAAATACATACCTACAAATGTATGCACATAATATGTATGTATGTATGTATGCACATACAAATCTATGTGAGTATTTCGCACCGACTTTCTTTTTTCTAAGAAGATATTCGATCTGTTTGCGTTCATATAAGAATTTGATACTGCAATACTTTTCAATTATTTGCAGTTCGTGTTGCGCCGCACATATGCATATGTACATATATGTATTGTATGTATATCTATGTTGCATGTCTTCTCCACAGGTGAGTGCTCACATTCTTCGTTGCTGCAACAAACTTGTATACACCACTTCTCGATTGCTTTTATTGCTTTGCCAATTACGCAGTTACAGCCGTTTGTTGCATGATTTCATTACAAAAGTGTGTGTGAGAGAGAGAAACAAAAGTAATTGAAATAATTAAAAATGGAAAATAATTGCACACATATGGCCAAATAAGGTCACTATCAATACTTTCTTCAAATGTTTTTAGAGCAGCAAGTTTATGGTTATTGATTGACAATTATTGACACAATTGCCGTAGTCTAATGCTTAGACCTGTGCTACTAATATATAAGTGATAAATAGTTTATTTGGTTTGATCAATGCCTTATAATGAAGAGAAGTGTGGTGTGGTGGCTGGTATCTCAAAATTGCCAAGGTAAAACTATCTACTTAATTAAAATTTCATACAACTACATAAATATTAACTATTTGCAATGTTAGCGTATTTAATATTTTTTCGAAAGTGCGATTCCCGGAAATTAAGTTACTGGCTATTTACTGTACCTAAATCGCTAGCTTTTTGAAATTGTTCAGGAGAGAAGTATAACTTCCCATAATAAATTTCTGCAAATGTTTTGCAAGCCTTTGATAACCAGCTTTTTGCGTGTACAATAGGGCATCCCTTATTTTTTATTTTGAAAAAATCTTCAGTCTCACCCTCCAAAAAGTTGAGGTTGGTTAAAAGGAGGGCTACTCTAAAATTTTACGCCTCCTGGACCACGCCTTTCCCACCCGACTTGCGTTTGAAGTTTGAATTACTGTAACTCATACCACATGGTGATCCATGTGCAGTAATATAAATTTAAATTTACTTAATTTTAATTTATTTTTTGCCACTGAAAACAACCGTGTTAAATAAATTCTTATTCTATTTTTACTTGGCAATAGTGTTCATCAGTGATATTGCCACGCCAACTTTAACGGCGATGAAAATAAAAAGACTTCCCGGCCAGCAGAAAAACGTAAATTTTGCGATTGAAGAGTGCGCTCTCGTACAATTCTCCGGATCCAAAATGCCAAAAACGTATCTGTTTCTAACAAATTTTCGGTTCTTGTCTGTACATACATTTCTGCCGCACATTTAAGGGGGATAAAGGATTGTCAAAGTATCCCAAAATGGAATCGGTAAACGGAAAAAATCCGCATTTAAACCACTTTTTTTCCTCTTCGGATCCGTTTTCGGATTTTTCCCTGGCTGCACTAATATCTGCCACTTTATTTACATGACCAAATAAATACATTGGGATCTTACAAATAGCTGTACATCTATGCTCTGCCCAGAAAATAAAAAAATAAAAAAATGTCAACTAAATTTTTGACGGTTAGGGCTCGATATGTACTAAGTAATTAAATATATAAATACAAACTTTTTATTTGGAGCGGGAGCGGAGCTAAGAGCTGAACTCAGAGCCAAATAAAATACCAAATCGGAGCGATGGAAAAAAACCTTTGCTCCGAAGCCCTGCTTAAAAGTGCCATAAAAAGCGCACCGATGATAGTAAAACTCCGAGATTTTGTATACGTATTCATAATACTACTAAAAGAGAACGCTCCAAAAATGGGCGTGCCGCCAGGGCTGCCAACTATCCTTAGCTATGAGGTGCCATATTGAAACTAAATTTTTAAAACAAAAGTGCAATTCCAAAATAAAATAAAGCAGTTGAATAATATTTAGAAATTACAAAATTTTAGTTGAGAAAGAGAAGCATACGCAAAGAATTTAACAAAAATGTATTGACATATTACTGTTTTTAAAAAGTGCCATTTAGGCACTTTGTGCCTAATTGAAAAACTAAGTGCCATTTGATATAAAATAGGGCTAAAGGTGGCATGGTTTGAGCCAAGTTGGCAGCCCTGCGAGCCGCCTTAAAAGTGCAATGTATGCCATCATTAGTATATGAGGATAGGAATAAAAACTTAAGATAAAAGTTATAAAGTATTGATGCCAATATATCAATCTGTCAACTAAAGTAGAGACAGAAAACGTTTAAAGGTAAATATATTAATAATATAAAGGTAACATTACAAAGTTCCTACATTTTTGGTGAAAAAACGTACCTGTTGCCATTATCTTACTTTTTCAAACAGTTGCAGTGGTACAATACCCTTTATCTACACAAAAACTACATTGTGATGTTAGAATTGACTTTTTTCCTCTCGGGCACCACTGTGCGGCGTTACGACCCTGTTTAAAAATACCACTTACCTTTCTTGAGGCGTCGCTGAATCCTATTGTTGAGCTGTTCGATTTTGAAAGAAATTCATTATTAACCAAGGCACATTATTAGCTATGTTTTTATTTTTATTTTTTGCTTGAGTTATTTTTCTCAATTCAGCTGGTTGCGGCTATCGATTACCAATTAATTGAAATTAATAGTTTTTGATTTTTTTTGCAAATATTTATTTTCAGTCTATAAAGAACAAAGAAGTATATAGGAAAAAATTATTGACACGTTTCGTGTTAACATCGGATATATTCTAGTAAATGCTTGCTTTAAAGATTTTGTCTTTTTTTTCACTGATAGGCGAAAAACAGAGCAGATTGTTTGTTTGACTTTTATCATTCTATTGCATAATGTAAGCAATTTTTTTTTATTAATTGTAGTTATTTAAGAGAACATCATTATTGTGTTACTTAGTGAATGTTAAAAAATGTAGTTTCTGTTAGTTTTGTACTTTTCACAGTTATATGTAAGTGTGTGTGTATGTAAATACTAGAAGGTGTTTACTAGGCGAAAAAATTGTTATAGTAAAGTGGTAGAAGAATATTCCTGTAAAACTACATATTGTGTAAATGGGTATATATGTGAGACAAATTTAGAGATATAAGTAAGCAAGAGTTGCTTCCTTTTTCCTGAAATTGGTGAACTGTTGTTAGGTGCTGATAGTTCAAAAGCTTGCACTAGTTATAGATTCAGTAAAGTCTCTAGTTAAATTAAGTAAAGTTCATCCATTCGAGTTGCGTTTAATTTTCAGCTAGGTAGTATCATAAAGCCAGTCTGTTTGCGAGTTTAAAATAAATTAGGTGAGACTTCATTACATAAAGCATTAAAGCACAAAGTTAAGTATGTATTACGAAAGTTTGTACATATACACATACTTACTCTAATAAAGAACACAATAAGCGGTGACAACAAGTTGAAAAGAGTAATAATACAATACATAAACTAGTTAAGCGCAGAAATAGTATAGTACATAGTAAAAAGTATGTAACTAAGCATGCTCATAGTCTGCCTATACTTATGTCTAAGTACTTAGTAGGAGAGTTGTTAGGCAGGCAGGCGAGCGAGCTGAATAAAAAAGAAATGGCATGCATTTAAATTTGTTTGGCAACTCTGCTGAGCTCTGGCTCAAAACAGCGCTAGAAAGTGACGCAAAATATTGAGTAACTAAATAAATAATTTTTTTTTTTTCAAAACAGTATTGTGACAATTTTGTGCCGCATATATGCATTTACGTACTTATACATATGTATGTAATTTGTCTTCTCTCAAATATATACTCTCCCGCTCTGCCATGTTTTTTTCTTTAACGTAGAAATGTTCTAAATTTTAAATTAATTATTGTAAATAGTAAAATAAATAAATAAATTAGAAAATTAAGTTAAGTTTTTTGTTTTTCTTTTTTTTTCAGGATATACATATTGCACTCCCTTTTAGCCACATTCAACTTCTACGTTTTTTAGCTTTCCCAACCTTGCTTTCCTATTCTTGATACGCTGAGTAGGCCAATTTTTGCGCTTCGTGCAGCGAACGTCCATAGCCGTGCTCCTCGTGCGAGTAATGCGGATGTGCTACGACTTCGTAGTTCTCCTTCTTCGATTCGAGCAATTTTTTCAGTCCAATAATACCACTCAGTAGTAATGCAATCTTGCCAATAACGAGCGCTTTGAAGGAGATCAATGCCAAGAAGCCGATGGCAAGTGGCAGGAGTGCAGCCATTTTCAGTTTGAAGAGCAACAACAATGGCAGGAGGTACTTTTTCTTTTCCTTTTTCTTGCCGCGAGCTGCAAGTGAAGAAAGAGAGGAAAAAACAGGTATGTAGATAAATATTTTATAAGTGGATTTTAATTTTACGCAATGCCAAACGGTTAAAGAAATTTTAATTTTGAAAAGAATATAACAAGGCGAATTTATGTATATAAGATGGTGTTGTTTCATCAGCTGTGAGTTGCGATGAGTGAGTGAAAACAGGAGAGTGGCGGGAATTAATACAGCAATCGTAAAAATTTTATCAAGCATACTGAAAACTATTTAGAATGTGCATTGCCTACATGAAAAGGCATAACTATGTACACAAAAATTGTGGTCGATTTTTTATTATTGTCTTAAAAAAATTCTTTTTTAAATCACTTGTTCCATTTTTTTTATATTGCTCGGAAACTGGGCTTGAACCCAGGCCCTGCGGAATGGTAGCGCGCATCTTTGGTCACTACATTACAGCGGAATTATAGTATTAGTAAAAATCGAAATGAACTTAGATTGAGATTAAAAAGTTAATTTCATTAATTTAGTTTTAAAGCCTGATTTGTTTATTTTTAACACACAAATGTATGTAAATTAGGGTGATCCAAAATAAGTGTGAAAAAGTAAAGTCGGAATTTTTATGCTCCCAGGATTGTTCTTTACGGAAAAAACACAATTTTTTATTTGGAAATCAAAAAATATTTAGCGGTCGCTCAAAGCGTCCTAAATGGTTAAATAAACAATTGGGTATTATTATTGAAAGTCTCCTGAGAGAACCAGGGTTCCGTTGGAATATTAATAATTTTCAAGAATTCTATACCATTTCTACGAAAAATTGTTTTTTTTTTTGCCATATAAAAATACATGGAAAACTTTGAGCGCTTGGAGCGACCTCTAAATGTTTTTTGATTTCAAAATAAAAAGTAGGGGTACACGTTTTTTTGATATAGAACAATCCTAGGGGGTGAGAGCATTACAATTTTGGCTTTACTTTTTTGGGCCACCCTAATGCACATACCTATTTGCAAGCACACCATACGATTTTACTAACTTTGTAGCGCCATTAAAAGTTTACTGCATTCATATTTCAATTTGATAACCAACTAATAAATTGTGTGTGAACTCTAATCGATTTTAGCATGGGAGCTTAATTGAATTTTAGCCTGCAAAATCAATAACCGACTGCATGTGTATTATAAAGTCCTTAGGTAGTAAATTGAATACTCCAAATGTTCTCCTGTCACATTTGTCAAGCAGTTGTTGTTGTTATTGCTTGTCACTGATACTTTCCAACTTGTCGGTAAACAACAACGGAAACAGCTTAACCAGGCAATTTAACAATTTCAGCGCACATTTCCGTTGTCAGTTGTCACACGAAGCATTCTGCCACGGTGTACATATATATGTAAACATAAACGTGTGTGAAAATATTGAACTTGTGTGTACTTCATGCCAATCACATACAAATATATACATACATACATACATATGTGTAAGCATATGTGCCGCAGCACCGACAGGATCCACCACTAGCTTTCTATGATATGGTTTTTCAAACTCATTTAAAATACTTGGCAATAAACTACTTATTTATACGGGAAAGAAGAAAATAGAGGAAAACCCAAAAACAAATGCAGAAAGTTATGCCTCCGCAAATTTTCTGAGAATTAAAAGAAAGCAGAAAAACAGCAGCAGCTGCAACAAGAGACAAGTGCTTCAGCAGAAGGAGAAAACAGCTTTCCAAAGTTAATAAACATACGGCAAAGCCAGTCAAGAGGAAGATGCGAGCATGTATTGGAAATATTGGTAATGAAGATGGACTGAAGGCGGGAAAGTGAGTGCTGGTCGGTCATGTTGTTGCTGAAAAGATAGCGTGCAATAAATAAAAGTTGCAAGTTCAGTTGCGTTACAACTGCAGATAAGGTCATAGAGGCTAACTGCTGTTTAATGGATGTAAAATGAAAGGGGAGTGTGATGGAGGAATGTGAATACGCATACCATAGCGGCGAAGTAAAAGCGGCAAAGTAAACGCGTATGTGTTGCAAGGATAACAGATGTAGCAATGCTAGTGTGGTGGTCCAAAAACAGTAAATTGGGAATTGTAATGCTCTTACCCCCTAGGATTGTTCTATATCGAAGAAAGTATACCCTTATTTTTGATTTTTAAATCAAAAAATATTTAGAGATTGCTCAAAGCGCTCAAAATTTTCCATGTATTTTTATACGGGGGAAAAAACTTTTCGTAAAAGTGGTATTTAATTCTTGAAAATAAATATTTTTCGGTAATAAAATGTTTATTTTTAAGAATCCTATACCATTTCTACGAAAAGTTATTTTATCCCCATATAAAAATACATGGAAAACTTTGAGCGCTTTGGGCGACCTCTAAATATTTTTTGAATTAAAAATAAAAGAATAGGGGTGTATTATTTATGTATAGAACAATCGTAGGGGGTGAGAGCATAAAAATTCCGACTTTCATTTTCACATGCTTTTTCGGACCACCATAATGTACACACATGCATACATATGTATGCAATTGGAACTTTTTATACTCTCAACGCACGCTTGATATAAATGGAGACTTCGCACATCGTGGTACCGCTAATTCCCTCTTTTTGAATTTGACAGAATCAGCCATGATAAAAACATAACAAGGTAAAACCATTGAGAGGCAGTCTGACATTTGCCAGCAATATAATTTAAAAATTTAAAACTCAAACACACACACACGTTCTCATTTTCAATCTCAAACAACAACAATTGTGAACAATTTCATTTTTTTTTTCAATTTTATATGATCGCCGACGAATTGAGAGAATGAGTTTACGTTGTAATTTTTTTTATCATGAAATTAGCTCTGTGCGTGACGTCATCTTGGTGCAATTGTTGATTGAAGAAAACCAAAAACCGATTTAACTGGGAACGGTTTATTTATTTGCCCATTCGGCCACAATAGCCCGATCAATAAAATTTTACACACACTTGTAATAAAGGGTCTTTATTATAAAACCTAATATTATAATTTGCGGTCACTAATTTATGAATAAATTCGGTCAGAAAAATGTAGTTTTACACAACTATTGAAATATTACAAGGCAAAATGAAGTCTGCAGAGGCAAGTTGTAAAAGTGAAAAAAAAAGGAAAGCGTGCGATATAAGTAAGTTTATCTAAGTCATTGCTACGTGTTAATTAAACTTCGTATATTTATTAATTCCTGCATTTAATACATTTCTCGGCATTGTTTACATATTATCTAAAAAATTTCAAACTTTTTGCAAAAATTATATAAATTTCTACAAAGTTTCATCCAGATTGTAAACTTTTTATGCCTGTTAATTTTTTTTGTCCACATAAAAACATTTCTTTCCATAAAAAACATTTGTCGAACATACTTTGAAAGATTTCTGCAACTTTGCATAGGCTGCCAAAATGTTTCGTCCTTAGTGGTTAGCAGTACGCGCTACCATTCCGCAGGGCCTGGGATCCAGCCCGGTTCAATCCAAGATCAAAAAACAAAAAAAAAAATGTTTCTAATAGCGGTCGCCCCTCGCAAGGAAATATCAACCTCCAAGTGTATTTCTGTACATCAAGGCCCACACCACAAGTCAGAGGAGAAGCTCGGCCTAACACTAACATACACTGGCAATCAAAAGTGAATGTATGGTGTTTTTGTTTAATATTTGCAATGTTTTTCAAGCTAAACTTTTTTTGTTATTTTTTTATTAAAATTCATGCATTTATTAAAACTACATAATTCAACGAATTTTCGTCTAAATTTTTTTTAGAACAATTTTGAGTACGCAGATAAATCGCTATTTTGAATCTAATTTAATAAGTGCAAGTTTTAAGCGGCTAAAAATCGCGTTAGCCGAAATCGAGATTTGGGCCTTCGAAGTTCGAAATTTTACCTATGGTAAACAATTATTTTGAATTATTGTATGTAAACAACTAAAAAGGTACAAACTTGGCCTCTCGCTCTTATTTAAATGGTATGGTATATAAATTTTTTGTGCAAACTTATATTACAGGTGCTATAAGGGGTCAAAGGTCAGATCTTCGAAAAATTAAAAACCTTATATTTCTAACAATTTTGAACTGATTCTTAAAAAAGTGATATCGTAAAAGGTAATTAAACCCTCTTTCTTCCTACATATATTAGTAATAAAATTGAATACTTTATTTAAATGCGACAGAAAATTGCATTCAATTTTATATATATGTACAGTGAACAAAATAAAAACTGGGACGCGACATTTCAGCAAGTTTTGGCTATTTTTCTTTAGTATGTAGCTGATTACTTAACTCACACGATATAAATCCAAAATTCAGACTTTGTGCAAAATTGTTAAAATTCTGCATAGTTCGACTAAGATTTCTAACTTCCTAATCAGCATCTTTAGATAAAATTTTGTTATGCAGTTTTGTAGCCCATTTAATTTTAGGTGACAGGTAACAAAATCAACGGAAATAAGGTAAATTGGCACTATTTCGCATACTGGTGCGAAATAAAGTCAATTAACATTATTTTCAAAAAGCGAAATAAAATCCGTTGACTTTATTGCTCTTTCAAAGATTAAATATGTGTAGCTTCGCGGCCGTCACGCAAAAGAACTTTTTTTCTTTGAATCGACATACTTTAAGCATGATTGACGCTATTTCCATTTTGATTAGGAAATAGCATCATTTACTTTCATTTCCAAGTTTTTTTTTACTTTTATTTTATTTAATGTTTATTGTTTGGAGTATAGTTTTTTTCTCGATATTTTTTTTTAAAGAAAACTGTATTAAAAGATGTTATATCTTTTCATAAAAAACAAAAATACGTTCAGATTCTTGTCTGCAGAAATCTTCCCTGCAGGGAAACCACGAACTAGTGAATCAAATTTCTAGTTCCGTACTAGGTCTTTATCGCCAAAAAGGAGCTAGTCCGATAGGCACTAGATCCCCACCAGTCCAAAATCGGGGAAAAGTGGTACTTTTAAAAAAGTAATTTTTTTCTGTTTTTTTCACTAGAAATCGATATCTAAAGTGACGAAT